AGGTCTTAACATTTGTGACACATATTCAGGGGCTTTTTTATATTTATAGTTCATCTTTCTAGATTAAAAAAAAATAATAATTGCCAGAAATCAACTTAAAAATTCATCAAGATCGGGGCATCTGGGTGGCTCAGTTGGTTAAGCATCCAGCTCTCGATTTCATCTAAGGTCATGATCTAATGGTTTGTGAGATCAAACCCTGCATGGGGCTCTGCATTGACAGTGCACGGCCAGCTTGGGATTCTCTCTCTCCCTCCTTTTGCCCTTCTCCGGCTCATGTGCATGCTCTCTCTCTCAAAATAAATAAGTAAGCTTTAAAAAAAAATTCATCAAGGCCAATTTAAGGGATTTACCAAGAATATTGCAGATACTTAGATGTAAATGTGAGGAGGTGATTTTTAAAAAATTATTACAAGAGGGGTGCCTGGGTGGCTCAGTTGGTTAAGTGCCCAACTCTTGGTTTCAGAGCAGGTCATGATCTCACAGTTTGTGAGCTTGAGCCCCGAGTCAGGCTCTGTGCTGACAGTGCAAAGCCTGCTTGGGATTCTCTCTCTGCCTGCCTCCTCTCTCTGTCAAAATAAATAAATAAACTTAAAAAAATGTTTAAATTTATTACAAGAAAATTTAGCATTGCCCCTAGTAATACAGAATTATGAAACTGAAAGCACTTATGTGGTGATCTAGTGCCACCATGTGTCCCAATTACTCAATTACATGATTTAACAGTCAAGATTCTGTATTCTTTTCCTATTGCAGCTGTAACAAATCACCACACATTTGTGGAAAACAACAAATTACCACAAATTTGTCATAAATTTGTAATATATCTCAGTGGGCTAAAACCAAGGTGTCAGCAGGGCTGTGTGCCTTCAAAGCCCTACAGAAGTCTCTGTTTTACCTTTTCCACATTCTGGAGGCTGCCTGGATTCCCTCACTGGTGGCTCCATTCCAGAACCAACAATGGCCAGTTGAGTCTTCTCATGGTAAATCTCTCTGACGCTGCCTCTCCTCTTTCACTTTTAAGGACCCTTGTAATTACATAGGGCCCACCTGGATAATCCAGGATAATCTCACCATCTCAAAATCAGTTGATTAGGAAACTTCTATCTGCAATTTTACTTCTCCCTTGCCATGGAACATAACATATTCACAGGTTTTGGGGATTAGGATGAAAATATCTTTGGGAGGGGGGCATTGTTCTGTATACCACAGAATCGATTAGGTTTTATTTGGGGGGGATATGCTACTTTTTATGCTTCAAATGATAAAGACATTAAACTGTTTTTCTGTCCTTATTTGTAACTTGGAATTGGTAAACAAGAAAAACATATCTTTTGCCAATGTCTGTAAAATTAGCCACTGTGAGAAGTGAAATGATTCATTTTCAGAAATACCAAATCAAAGCTGTGCTGTCTAGTTAACAATAGGTTTACAACCTATTGAGAATTTGTATGAGCCCCTCTCCCCCCACACCCACCCCCCAAATGGATTCCCAAACCCTTAGACACTTCACTTCCTGGTTCTTCCCCTCTCCGTTTTTGGGCTTATTTTCACAGGCTTTGCAATGAGCATGTGCCAAAGAACTGAAGTCTCTGTATCACCTCAAGGAATGTACATTTGTTCCAATCAGACTACTCCTTGCCTTGCATGGGCATAGGCAACGTCGGGTAAGGCTGTAACCTCTGTAGTGCTCAGCCAATGAGGAACCAGGGGAGAGACTTGCATGCTAGGAGATAAATTGCCTGCTGTAACTGCCCCAAGTGTGCCTGTCCACCAGACACCTGCTTTTGCAACACTGTTGATTAAAGCCTTGCTCTACTGTGCTCGGAGTCCCCACGTGCCTCCTTTGATTGGGGCAGTGGGCTTATTTCTCACAGCCATGCACTTAGAAATCCTTCCAGTGAATTTTTACTTATGCTTTACTAATCTTAGCTAGAAAAACCCAAACTAAACATTAAAATATTGTTAAATTCATCTTAAAATTATTTTGACTTGGGGAGCCTGGGTGGCTCAGTTGGTTGAGTGTCTGACTCTTGATTTCAGCTGAGGTCTTGATCTCAGGGTTTGTGGGTTCATGCCCTGTGTCAGGCTCCGTGCTGACAGTGCATGGAGCCTGCTTGGGATCCACTGTCTCCCTCTCTCTCTGCCCCTCCCTCCCCTGTTCTCTTTCTCTCTCAAAATAAATAAATAAACTTAAAAAAATAATAAAATTATCTTGACTTGGCAAAGGCAGGTGTAAGCCCAAATACTGCTTGGTCATATACAAAATATACAAGTAGAGGGTCTTTTTTGTTTGTTTACGGGGCAAATGGCTTTGTTCACAAACCAGTCAGAATTAAGTTCACAAAAACTCATAATTGGAAAATTTTGTAGGGATTAAAAGAGGAGAAGAAGGGAACCGGTGGATTTTGTTTCTTTACATGTATCTACCTCCATTACTGTAGCAGATGAGCACCCCACTTTTGTACTGGTCATTTTCCAGCCAGGGGAAGAGAGACTATTCTGCACCCACCAGGATTTAATAGGCTGCTTTCTGAGTAGAGATGAGGTAAGGCAGGGTATGCTAATCAAGCCTCACAGGAAAATCAACAAGATAAAATACTTGTGATGTGGTTTGAAGTGTTGGGGTTTGGAGCTGACAGGTAAGAAAGAACTCTTGAGATGTCTTTGGTGCAAACAATGTGGTTTTATTAAAGCACAGGGACAGGGCAGGTGGGCAGAAAGAGCGGCACTAGGATTATGAGTGACTGATTAACTACCCAGGAGCTGGGGGAAGTAGAGATAAGGGGAAGTTTCCAAAAGGACTTTCATATGCTAAAGAAGACTCCGAATCCTGAAGGCATAGCTATTGTCAAGCTAAAGTTGTTTTTCCCTCTAGCAAAGCATTAACTTTTAAGATTGTCAGGAGTTCCTGGAAGAATGCCATACTCTGCTTATCTTAAGTGTTTGTCAATGGGCTGCAGGTTATAAGGAAATTTAATTTTATCTACACTTCTTTCTGCCTTTGTTTCCCACATCACTTATGTTTTCTTTTTATTATTATTATTATTATTAGTTTTTATTTAAATTCCAGTTATTTAACAGTGTAATATTCGTTTTGGGTATACAAAATACTGATTCAACACTTCCATACATCACACGTGCTCATCACAAATGCATTCCTTAATCCTCATCACCTTTTTAACCCATCCCCTCCCCTCCCACCCCCCCCTCGCCTCCGGTAACCATCAGTTCGTTCTCTATAGTTAAGAGTCTGTTTCTTGGTTTACCTCTCTTTTTCTGTCCCTTTCCTCATTTATTGTTTCTTAAATTCCACTTGTGAGTGAAATCATGGTATTTGTCTTTCTCTGACTGATTTATTTCACTTAGCATAATACTCTCTATCTCCATTCATGTCATTGCAGATGGCAAGATTTCATTCTTTTTTATGGCCACACCTTTGTCCATTCATCAGTCGATGGACACTTGGGCTGTTTCCATAATTTGTCTATTGTAGATAGTGGTGCTATAAGCATCAGGGTGCTTTGAATTAGTGTTTTGTATTCTTTGGGTAAATACATAGTAGTGCTGTGAGATGTAAGGAAGATGATTCATTTTCAGAAATACCAAATCAAAGCTGTGCTGTCTAGTTAACAATAGGTTTACAACCTATGGGAATATGTATGCTCCCCCCCCCCCCCACCACACACACACCACAATGGAGTCTCAAACCCTTAGACACTTCACTTCCTGGTTCTTCCCCTCTCCGTTTTTGGGCTTATTTTCACAGGCTTTGCAGTGAGCATGTGCCAAAGAACTGAAGTCTCTGTATCACCTCAAGGAATGTACATTTGTTCCAATCAGACTACTCCTTGCCTTGCATGGGCATAGGCAACATGGGGTAAGGCTGTAACCTCTGTAGTGCTCAGCCAATGGGGAACCAGGGGAGGGACTTGCATGCTAGGAGATAAATTGCCTGCTGTAACTGCCCCAAGTGTGCCTGTCCACCAGACACCTGCTTTTGCAACACTGTTGATTAAAGCCTTGCTCTACTGTGCTTGGAGTCCCCACGTCCTTCCTTTGATTGGGGCAGTGGGCTTATTTCTCACAGTGCAATTGCTGGATCCTAGGGTGATTCTATTTTCAACTTTTTGAGGAATCTCTATACTGTTTTCCAGAGTGGCTGCACCAGTTTTCATTCCCACCAACAGTGCAGGAGGGTTGCCCTTTCTCCACATCCTCGCCAATACGTGTTGTTGCTTGTGTTGCTGATTTTTATTTATTTATTTTTATTTATTTATTTTTTATTTATTTTTTAATTTTTTTTTTTAACATTTATTCATTTTTGAGAGACAGAGTGTGAGTAGGGGAGGGGCAGAGAGAGAGGGAGACACAGATCCGAAGCAGGCTCCAGGCTCCGAGCTGTCAGGACAGAGCCCGATGCAGGGCTCGAACTCATGAACCATGAGATCATGACCTGAGCCGAAGTCGGACACTTAACCAACTGAGCCACCCAGGCGCCCCTGTTGCTGATTTTTAAATGCATGGGTTTTCAATAGTGCTTCCCCAGCCTTTTCTGGAATGTCACATATAGTGTACTATGGGAAGGGTACATCAATATTATGCAGGTAGGATGAGGAAGAATATAATAATTGCAGACTTCTTTTTCTGTTGTAAAATTGTTACCAGCTATTAGAAGGACTGACCTGCACATCTCTCCAGGGCCCATGTAAGGCTTCTGCCCAGCTTGAGGAAAGCTTCATGAAAACATTAAAGCATCTCCAACAGAATTTCCTTACAAAGCATTTCAGTAAATTAGCAGTCATTAAACTGCTGTGTAAGTCTCGGCGATAACCTGTTATAGTTTCCATTGTAGAGGTTTTATGTATCTTTTGTTAAATTTCCTCTTAAGTATTTTGTGAAGTAAAATGCTTCTTTAAAAATAGTAATGATTTAAAAAACATAATAGTGGTTTTATTTCTTCCTTTGTGATATATACGACTTTTGTATCTTTTCCTTACCTTTTCACCATAGGTGGGACTTCCAGGATAGTGTTGAATGGAAGTGGTCCAAGTGAACATCTTGTCCTTGTTCACTGTCTTGAGGGGAAAGTATTTAATATCTCACGGGCAGTATGGTATTAGCATCAGGTCCTTTCTAGATGCTTTTTTTTTTTTAAATGTTTACTTTATTTTATTTATTTATTAGGTTGTTATTAATGTTTATTTATTTTGGGGGGGGTGGGGAGGGAGAGAGGCAGACAGAGAGGAAGACCAAGGATCTGAAGCAGGCTCTGTGCTGACAGCAGAGAGCCCAATGTAGGGCTCAAACCCACAAACTGTGAGATCATGACCTGAAGTCAGACACTTAACTGACTGAGCCACCCAGGCTCCCCAGAGCTTTTTTTTTTTTAATCATTTTTATTTTCATTTTATTAAAAAAAATTTTTTTTAATGTTTACTTAGTTTTGAGAGAGAGACAGACAGAGTGCAAGTAGGGGAGGGGCAGAGAGAGAGGGAGACACAGAATCCGAAATAGGCTCCAGGCTCTGAGCTGTCAGCACAGAGCCCAATGCGGGGCTCAAACTCACAAACCAGAGATCGTGACCTGAGCCGAAGTCAGATGCTCAACCACTGAGCCACCCAGGTGCCCCCAGAGCCTTTAGTTTTAAAATTATGATGGCTATTGGATTTTATCAGAGGCACTTTTTTCACATTTATTGGTATGATCATATAGTTTTTCTCCTTTGTTCTGTTAATGTGACAAATAACCTCAATTTTCAAAGATTAAGGTGACCTTGTACTCCTGGAATAAACCCACTTAACCATGATGTAGTTAGTGTTGCTGCTTTCAAGTAGCTAATATTTTGTGAAAGATTGTTGTATCGTGAGAGATGTTGGTCACAAATTTTCATGTAGTCTTTGTCAAGGTTTTGACAGGGTTATACTGGCTTCATAACATGAGTTGGAAATAGTTTCCGTTTTCTAAAAATGTGTAAGATTAGTATTATTTCTTTCTTAAATGTTTGATAGAATTCCCAAGAGAAACCATCTGGACTTGCAGTTTTCTTTGTAGGAAAGCTTTTGATTAGCATTTCAACTTTAAAAATAGAGTTATTCAGATTTCGATTTCTTTTTGTATCATTTTGTAAGTTGTGTTTTTTTTTAAGTTTATTTATTTTGAGAGAGCAAGAAAATGCAAGTGGGGGAGGGGCAGAGAAAGTGGGAAAGAGAATCCCAAGCAGCTTCACACTGTCAGCGTGGAGCCCGATGCGGAGTTTGAACTCATGAACCGTGAGATCATGACCTGAGCTGAAGTCAGATGCTTAACCTACTGAGCCACACAGGTGCCCCTGGATTATTTTACTTCGCATAATATTTTCAAGGTTCATCCATGTTGTAGTATGTATCAAGGTCTCATTCTCTTTCATGATCAAATAATATTCTATTGTATGTATATAGTACATTCTGTTTATCCATTCATCTGTTGATGGACATTTGGGTTGTTTCCATCTTTTGGCTGCTATGAATATGCTCCAATGAATATTGGTGTACCAGTATCTGAATCTCTGCTTTCAGTTCTTTTGGGTATATACATAGGAATGGAATTGCTGGACTATATAATTCCATGTTTAACTTTTTGAGGAACTGTCAAACTCTTTTCCATGGTGGTTGCACCAGTTTTACATCCCCACCAACAGTATATGAAGGTTCCAATTTCTCCAAAGCCTTGCCAACACTTATTTTCCTTAAAAAAAAAAAAAAAAAAAGTAGCCATCCGAAGGGGTATGAAGTGCTCTCTCATTGTGGTTTTGATTGGCATTTCCCTAATGACTCATGATGTTGAGCATCTTTTCATGTGTTGGCTTCTTTTATTGACTAGTTGTATATCTTCTTTAAAGAATTCTTTATATATTCTAGATATTAATCCTTTATCAGATATATGATTCACAAATATTTTCTTGTATTCATTGGGAGGTCTTTTTCACTCCCTTGATAATGTTCTTTGATGCAGTAGAGTTTTTAATTTTGATAAAGTACAATACAAAGTCTTTAGGGATAAATTTGAAGAGATTTGGCATCATATTGAGACCTCCTACCTATGAATAATAATATTCTCCATTTACTGAGGTCTTCTTCTATGGCCTATAATGTTTACCTTTTATCTTGTAAAGATCTTTTATATTTACTATACAATGTTGAATGTATGTTTGAATGTTTATTCTCAGGTATTTTATACCTAGGTTTCTGTTGTGAATTTCTTTCTGTTGCATTTTCTGTCTGCTGCTGGTGAACTGGAAAACTACCAATTTGTGAATGTCTAGTTGCTATCCAGTCCCTTTGTTGAACTCTGTTATTATTTGCCAGTTTTCATCATATTCGTTTTCACAGTCTATCATTTGGTAGACTAATACTACCCCGGAGCCTCAAATCCCTAGGAATGACAGAAAAGTCATATAAAGAATAAAATCCATAGCATGAAGAAATACCCACACTTTCTCTTTTTTCATGTGCACAATATGAGAGTATACTATATGCACTGTTAGTCATTTTATATTTTCTGCTCCCTCCTACTAGTGTTCAATATCAGTACACAGAGAGGACCTCTTCCTATTTAAGGGTGATGGTGTAAGGGTGTACAATAACTTACTATGTCGTGCTGAGGAAAACTTTCCCCCATCTTTTACTATTACAGTGAAAATCCTTGTATGAAAGTCTTTGCACAAATATCTGCAGGATCAAAAATTCCTAGAAGTGAAAATCCTAAAACCTGGATCAAAGAGTATATTCATCTTCAATACTGATAACTACTATCAAACTGCCTTCATGAAAGCTGTACCAATACACATTCTCAACAACAGCATATCAGCATGCTGTTTTCTCACACCTTTAGCAACACAACATACGCTGTTTACAATAGTCTGAAAGAAATATAGAGAATTAGTATCTTTATTCTTTTTGTAGAAGATGCTGCTGACGTCCCACCAACTTTACCTGCAGCTGTAGAGGATAGTTCCTAAACATTCCGACAGCACCCAACTTGTGTCTGGATCTCTCTGCTTCTCTTCCTGAATCGCTTTTAGGTGCCATAGGAATTTGCTTAGTTCAAGCAAGGGTAGGCTTTCCAGGGTGGCTGGTTAAGTAATAGCATATCAGGCTCTCAGAGGCAACCTTCAACATATGAGGAATGGGAACCAGTGGATAAATGTGCAAGCTTCCTCTTCCCTCAGCAGGCAATTCTAAGCCATGTTCTTACTGATTCCTGAGGGGAACTGAGCGCCTGTTGACTATAGCAGTAATCTCATTGATCTGTTGTTAACTTTTCCACCTTCCTACCTTACTTTCACTACTTCTTCACATCCTGATTTCACCTCCAAGATAAACCACATGCACTCAAATCCCTTCAATACCTGCTTTGAGGAGGACTTAAACTAAAATAGATGACCAGGTTTGGTCCTAGAAAGTTGACCCTCAAGAATCGGACTACAGAATTTGTTTACTCCCTGGTCAGGGAGCAATGAGAATCTCATTGCTGGTTTAAGTGGGGGTTGTGGTAATCCATGGCATGCTGGGTTTACTAAGACTCTCATGTCTGATTGTTTAGGATGAGGTACAGGTAGAGGGTCTGGGCTAGGGAATAGTTAACTGCTCTTGAAAGACATGGGGCAATGGTAATTATTAAGGACTGTGGAGGAGGCTGACTTTTCGTTAACTTTCCTGGAAGCCTCGGAGAATGGCACACTAGGTTGGCCAGCTGTCAACTCAGGGCATGCTAGAAGGCTCTCATGGCCAACTTTAATTAATCCGACCCTCATCTCTTGCAGCAGGAGGGCAGATTGTGCTGAATATTAGCCTCAGAATACAATCATAAAAATGTCAGAGCTCTAATGGATATCTAATGCACAGCCAGAGCAGGTGTCCCATCTTAAATTCAGAGCCCTGGAAGGGAAGAAATAGGATTGTGAAATCTGGATGGTTTTATTTAGGTGAATGCACTACACAGTCCAAACCCAATATTTCTCTGAATCTTCCAGACAGGCATGCTTCTTGGTAAACAGGCCGCCTTTCTCTCCTGTGTTGTCTAATACTTTCCTTCCCTTGCTCCCTTCCTTCTTCTCAAACTTGATCCAATTGTAATCTATTTTGTTGTAAGGAGTGAATTGGGAATCCGACCTTTTCTTTTTGAACTAGCTATCCAGTTTTTCAGCACCATTTACTGAATATTTCATCTATCCCCACTGATATAAAATGCACCCTGACTGTATATTACATTCCAGTATGTACTTGGGTCTTGTGGGAGAGAATGCTAAGTATTCACCAAACCTTTTCCCTCCTCTTTCTGGAGACACAACAGGGTGGTCTCTCAGCTTCCAGTGCAGTTAGGAAATGATGGGCCTGATACCTAAAAGCCTTCAGCATGTGACCTTCTAACCTCCTTGCCTTCTGGTAGGTGGAATGGAGCTATCCTCCAGGAAAACTCAGGAAGCCGCGTGTTCACAATGGCAGAGTTACAGATACAAGGGGCAGGAGTCCCAGACGCCTCGTTTGCATGAGAGCCTGCAAAGCAGAAACACTGGTTTTGGACTTTATGAAAATGAGGAATAACTTTCATTTTTTATGAGCCACTTGCTTTTTCTTTTTCCCTTAAACTAGATATCCTTACTTTAACTAACATAGATCTATTTCTGTTAGATCCTTTCTTTTTTTTTTTAATTTTTTTCAACATTTATTTATTTTTGGGACAGAGAGAGACAGAGCATGAATGGGGGAGGGGCAGAGAGAGAGGGAGACACAGAATCAGAAACAGGCTCCAGGCTCTGAGCCATCAGCCCAGAGCCTGACGCGGGGCTTGAACTCACGGACCGCGAGATCGTGACCTGGCTGAAGTTGGATGCTTAACCAACTGCGCCACCCAGGTGCCCCTGTTAGATCCTTTCTTTAACTAACATAGATCTATTCTGTTCCGTTCCATTGTCTGACTACCCATATGCTGGTATTACAGTTTTAATTAATATAATTTTATAATGTATTTTGGTACATAATAGGACTAATCCCTTCATTAACTTTTATTTTACAGTTTT